GTTCAATCATAAAAAAATGCAATACATTAAAAAATGGGAAAGTGCAATCGAAACAATCGATGCAAGGCATATTTGCAAACTTTGTTTAGGTTCAATTTTGGTGTCCAAAATTTTTATAATGGTGTGAGAATCTAGTTTATCTCTGATTATAAAATTTTAAACTCCTAAAATAGCAGATATATAAAAGCATGACAGTCTTGAAAATGGTCGGTCCAGACAATATGTGATAAAATGTACTATTTATGGGACTTGAAATCTTTTGTTTCTCCATATTAATACATCTTGATGTCGCGATGATCGATTAGATGTTTTTCCAACATCAAAACAATTTTTTAAAGGGATTTTTGATGGGCGCTTTAATTCTATACATTTTAAGTGTCAATTTTATAAAAAATGTTAATTCTAGTGTCAATTTTATAAAAAACAAATTCCAAAAAAAATATGCCTAAAAAGTATTATTATCTTGTAACATGACCATCCATTTAAGTGTTTGCAAATAGTGCAGCAAGACGTGGTTTTAAATACATAAGATCGATTTTCAAGCCATGACAATAAATTTTGAAAAAATTTACGGCTGTACCATATTTATCAAAATTTATGAGGTGGTCCACTTGGCCGATGTTCCAAACATCAAACGATTCCCCTTTTTCACCTTCTTCTTCTTCTTCTTCTTCTTTTCTTTTCTTTCTTTCTTTTTTCTTCTTTCTTTCTTCTCTTTTTCTTTTTTTTTTTTTTTTTTTTTTTTTTTTTTTCCTATTTTTACCCCTTGATCCAGTTTTCTAAACATTGGACCACTTTTTTATTTTATTCTTAATTCTTTTGAGGCACAGGAACTAGTTTGAGGTTCATATCGCTTTGGCTTCTAGAGTGTTCACACAAGCCAAGCAGTCCGAGGTATGGAACCTCGAACCAATCCCTCGATTGAAATTCATAATCCAGGGATTGGCCCGAGGTCCCATACCTCAAACCTAACCAGTTGGCTTGCACAATCTTCATAGAAGCCAAGTGGTCCCAGAATCAAACCTCGGACCGATCCCTATACTTAAAAAAAAGAAGAAAAACAAACAGTATGATATCTAGAAAGGGTAAAATTGGGGAAAAAAAGCAAGTGGACCTAGTCATAAAATTTTCAAAATTTTGTACCTCTACATAATTTCCTATTTTATTTACCCTTATTTAGAGAAAGGTTTCTATGCTTCCCTTACTACGTAGAAGATATATACTTTCCCCCTCATCCAGCTGTCTAATTTAGATCAAGTGAGCCACTGACCATTTGATCTAGATCTAATGCCTCATAGTATTTTATTTTTAATTTTTTTTGTACACATTGTATGAATATAAAATTTAGTATGTACCATTGTATCAATGGGGTGCACATAAAAAAAATTAAAATTTTTTCGATAAAACATCATAACCAAAATAAAATTATAATAACCAAAATACCCATTGAAATTTATAGGGGTATTTTGGTCATTTTATTTTATTGAGAATATTCATTTTATATTTTTTATAGGTGTGAGTCTAAGAGAGGAGTGGACAGCCCCAAATTTGGTGCCAAAATAGTTTGTAGAAAAAATTACAAATAAATTAATTTCGACACGTGACATTACGATTGGGGCTCTCTACCATATGTTCAAAATGAACGGTTGAATAAGGGGAAATAGATAACTTTCATGCTGTATAAAAAACATAGAAAGCTTATTCTTTTATTTATTGGTGTGGTTTGTATAGAGCCGATGATCTAAACAATCAAAGTAAAGCGCCCCTTTAAATGGTGTTGAAAAATGTGGTTTTAATATTGGAAATCTATGTGATAGCCTTAACATATATTTTCATCTTTAATTATAAACTTTAAAGCTTCAAAAATAGTGTAGATCGAACAGATCTATAAAAACTTAAAAATCTTGAAAATTGACAGTCCAAAAATACGCTACAAGATGCATTATTTCCAAGACATGAAACCCATTTTTTTTTCATGTCCACGCATCTTGATGTCAAGACGATCAATTTGAAGATATTTGAGCATCAAAACAACCTCTTCTAATGTAATTTGAGGATATTTATTGTACACACCTAGTTTTTCCTAACTTTTATACTAAAACCAGGTAGGGATTTCAAGGGCAACTTTACCAAATATCTTGATGGGGCCCAAGAGAGAAAATGTAGTGAGTTTCCCAAGAAAAGAGAAGAGCAATCAAGCTGGGAAAGTGCTCAAGGTTTATAGGGAAAAGTAGTAGCTTACTTTTCATGTCATTAAATATTAATAACCACGAGGTTTAAAACATTAGTGGGGGAAGTTATGTCAAATGTTGCCTAAAGTTGGATTTGTTGGGCTAACCTCGGACAGGCTATACTGCCTAGTTCTCAAACTTCACTCTTTAGATTGAGAAATACCAACAATATCTCAAGGAAAATAGTTTGATATGGCTGCAGTCCTATTAAAATAAGTAAAGTTTCTCCTTATAACTCAATGAAAATTATAAGCTAAGCATTGAAAAACTTTTACATCGATCATCTAGACTTGAACATTATGGTTGTAAAAAGAAATTAAGATTCAAGCTCTAAAGATGGTGTATATTGTAACAAATTATCTAGATCATCTATTTTTCTTTAAAAATAAGTGTTCATTGATCCACATAATCTGTGCCATTTTTTAGCTTCAAATTTTATTATCGGAATTAGAAATTGATTTTAGAGCCATCATAGAGATTTATATTGCCGAAAGTACTTTCTAAACGAGGATTTGAAGTGATGCTGTATTTTGTTTTGATAAAGCCTAGCCTTATAGAAACCTCATCCATAACTAAATAATTATTCAATATCTCCTCCTATGGTAAGTTTGTCTATCTTATGCATATTATATTGGACTCCTTGTATGCATTTCAACAAGGGCTCTTATTCTAGCGGTTTGCCTAGCAATCATTGATAAATCTGGATCAAAACATCCTATTTAACATTAGAAAATTTAAAATTTTATTTCACATAGGTGTCTCTTAAAAAAATATCATAAACAATATTCAAATGGGGTTGTCTACAAAGAGGCCATTTATCTTATATACATGGAGGTCACAATTATTCCTGTCTCTTAAAATTTAAAATGGTTGATTGTAAGAGTGTAATTGAATAGATACAAAGTTCTCAAAAAAGATTTTTCGGACTTCGTGACTCACTACGAGCCATCCAATTTAACATCCACATATAGAAAAAAATTGCGACCTCCATATATAAAAAGATAAATAGCTTTTGTAAAAAATCTCAAATCTTATTGCTCTTTTAATTTTTTTTATTGGATCCTGTTCATGTGCACATCGCTCTCTTTAATTCCCATCGTGCCATGATGGCCCTGCAATACATATATTCCCCAAATTTTGTACGAAACAATGAAAGCTTGATTTAACGTAGAAACCCTTGAGAGTAAGAAGGGGCGACTTGAGAATAGGGAGAGGGAGAGAATAGTTTGCCCTTTGGTTTTGGTTGTAATTTTGAAGGGTCGGAGTATAGGTGTCATTATTCCACAGGGAAGAATAACGTTTTTTTAAAAAAAATTAATGGTGCGACAATGGTTTATTCCAGTATTTTAAGAGCGGCATATTCGGATTGGAAATCGGGCAGGACCGAACTAATTCTGAGAAGGCATCACTATGGGCCTAGTTTTTCTTTAAAACCCCCTATTTTATAATTTTTATTTTTTTAAGTCTATCTAATATTTTTTAAAATTCAAAAAACCTATATTTTTTTTAAATTCAAAAAACCCATATTTTTTTAAAAAAACTCTTTTTGGATCATTTTATTCAGAGTGACCTAACACGGATCCACCCCACTGATCCATGCTTTGAATCACTAAGTTTATCAAATTTGGTGCACATGAATGTAAAAGGCAGGAAAAAGAGGTCGTGGAGAGACACAAACACATCAAGCAATGTTAATCTCAAAGTTGACCGCTAAGACACATACAAGAGGATTATAACTAGTGTTTACAAACCCCAAAGTTGGATAGCCCTCGGTGATTCCAATCCTCATTGTCGATTCTCCATGATAAAAATAAAAATAAATGTAACTATTGAAAATGAAAAATAATATTAAAAATGGAACTTTTAGGTTCTCTCTCATTATAGGAAAAGTCGAACCCGAACGGTTATCCGGACATGGGGCTGGAAGCAGTTACTCGATACTAACCAGTGTGAGTTCAACCGGCTAAACCATACAAGTCCCGGGCGGTAAAAAAAGTCTTAGAAGATTAAAAAATACAAAAAAAATGTAATAAAGTACATCCAAATAAAGAAGAAAACTAAAGAAAAAATAGATTTTTAAGAATCGATTTATGCTTAATGATATTTTTGAAATTTTTTAAAAAGAAAAAATATAAAAATAAAATATTAATGACCAAAACAATTTCAAATCTTTGCCAAAATGATGAAAAATATTTAAAATATATATTATAAATAAATTATATTTTTTTTGATGATTTTATATAATTTTTTAATTATTTTTAAAATATTGGACCGGTCCACCAAAACCGATCAAAACCAGAAAAAGCCAGTGGCCGGTTTCAATCTAACCGGGCAGTTAGAATTTGAACCTGCCTAATTTTTCCAACATTAGTTATCGATAATAATTTTTTCCTCTCTTTATTTGCCAAAAATGAACCGGTTGGGTTTTAAATAACAAACAATTAGGCCGGTAGCGATAGGACATCAAGTATTTTCATGACTATATTGGAAGAAAAGATATCAGACAAGAAACATTCAAGTTTCCAGAGCATCAGAGCCGTGTCCTTGTACTACTGCTCTTATGCAAAAAAACACTCAGAAATACGCGTCTTCATGTAATGTAACACACGGGCAAAGGTAATTTTTCTTGTACTCATAGAATCTTTTAACTTACAGTTGAATTTGAAAGAGAAAAACTTACAAGAGAGAGAAATACTTCTCAAGTAGAAAGAGATAAAGAAACTTAGAGAGAGAGAGAGAAAGAAATGCTTCAAAAAGTCCAACTCAAAATCCTTAATTCAATCTAAACGTCCAAAAAAGCATCGATGATCGATCCATTACTGGACCTCATCATCATCATGCCCCTTCTCCTTCTTCTTACTCTCACCATCATTGCGAATCTCTCACCTCATTCTCTCTCTCTCTCTCTCTCTTCTCCCTTCTCTTCTTCATAGCATATTATAAATACCCGCTCTCCCCCACCCCAGTCTCTCTGCTAATACCCTGCAAAATCCTTCATCAAAGCTCATAAAAGCTTGACAAAGATGTGTTTCTGCAACTTCTTGAGCCCCCCATCTTCTCTCAATCCCTCATTCGCGAAGCTTCGCATAAAGAAACCCAAGGTCCGAATTCTTATAAGAAGGTGAGGTCGTCCTCTCCACTACTGCAATTTGTGTGTGTGTGTTTAGGCTTTTTCATGCGACCGATCGATGTTTCTTTGACGATGTTTTGAAATCACTTTTTTATCACAGGAGGTTCGAAGAGGCTTCGGAGATGGAGATTTCGAACTTGGAACTTTACCTGCAAAATTGGTGCATAATTGAAGAGAACGAGAGGCTGAGGAAGAAGGCCTTGGTACTTGACCAAGAGAACAGGGCTTTGCTTTCTGAATTGAACAAGAAATTCTCTGGTTTCAATAAAGTCGTCGCCAAACCATAGAGTTTCAGGTTGCAGGGCTCGTCATTGCTCTCTCTCTCTAAAAATTCTCTCTCTAAATTTTCTCTCTCAGCTTTCCTTTATTATCTAGTTGTAATGGCCGGAGCTATGTAAGACAAGTAGAGCGAGGAAATAAGTAATCAGCAATAGGAATGGGTTCAGCATTCTTATGTAAATGGCTTGTAATTCTAGCAAATTACTCTAATTTGTTCTTGAAGCATAGCAATGATATATTTTGTGGAAAGATATACTATTTCGTTTCAAGATAAATTGATGCTTTGAGAATAATTTACAACCCACCCTACAAGCATCCTTTGAAAAAAAAAAAAATTCCCTTTTTATTTTATTTATTGTATTTTATTTTATTAATTCTAAATTTCAACTTAAATATAAATGGGACAGCTACAAGAACAACTACAAAAATTTTAAGAGAAATTTATCAAAATACCCATTGGAGATGAAGTACTTTTATTTTGTCCATTTGCAACTATTCCAACTCAAGACCATGTTTCTCTATCGATGTTTTGAATTTAAATCAAAAGACATGGGTAAAGAGTTAAACTATTCATCCCTCACAGAATTAAATCTCTCAATTTTTAATGGAGCATATTGTACACTTACTCTCTTGGGTAAAAGAGTATCTTATCAATATACAACTTTTGAAGTCTATTTTTAGGAACCCCAATTAAGGTTTTTGATGCTGGAAAGCCATCCAATTGATCATTTCAATTTTGAGATGTATGGATATTATATATATATATATATATATATATATATATATAAATTGAGCTCTAAAAATTGTACATATTGTAACTCGTTATCTAGAAAGTCCGTTTCAAAATTTTCAAATGTTTGTAGTTCTCCTTGATCACCACCATTTTTTGAGCTCTAAGTTGGATAATTAGCAAAGATTTTCGAGCCACCATAAGAGTTTTCAGCATTCACACAACATCTTCCTGTAGGGTGTTTTTTTGGGTAATTTAGTGGGAAAGACAAGCATCTACCTATTTTTTCAAATAGTTTAAGAGTTAGTTTTTTTAAAGTATTAGGTGTAGTTTCAGTGGAAAAAAAAACCACAACATAATGACTAAGGTGTGTAGGTACGACGCATGTTGCACCTTACTTTAATTCCTTAATATTGATGCCTTATATAAAGTGAACCTTTACATTAAAATTGATGATGATGAAAAGAAAGTCGTGGTGTGGCCTCATTACCTTATCTTCCCTACCTCTCTTTTAATGGAATTAAGAGCTTTAAGATTGCTACAAATCCACCATGTCCCCAAAATCAAATCCAGATCTCCATCCCAATGGATAGTAGATTTGGAGCTTTATTAGAACTCCAAATTATATCGTATGTGAACTTTTGAAGAAGACTGATTTAGATGCTTTTTCAAAGTTTTTTTATTTCTGTTTTTTAGGCCTCTTAGCCCCTGCAAAGGATATTGATCCGTTGAAACAACCCAAATATACGAAAGTTTCTATTTAGCACTAATGACTTTCCTAATTATATGCAATGTTTGGGTACTCCATAAAAACGTTTTCCGAAAATCTCCACCGAGAAAAGAGGTTCTTTATGTTAAATTTGAGAAAAATAAAATGCAAGAACATAAAAAAAAAAGAAGGTTGTGGTTCGTATAAGGCAGAGGCACTAAACAATGAATAATCAAAGTAAGGTGTACCTTCAAATAGTGTCAAAAGATGTTGTTTCAATACTAAAAATCTTTGTGATGGTCTGAAATTTTCATTTTATATCTAATTATAAAAATTAAAGCTCCAAAATTAGCAGATCTATTAACACTTGAAAAGTTTGAAAATTTCCAGTCAAAAAATGTATTACAATATGCATTATTTTCAAGACTGAAAATCCATTTATCTCATGTCCATACATCTTGAGGTTGACATGATCAATTTGAGGATTTTTAGGTATTGGGACAACCTCTTCTAGTGAATTTTTTAGGTTTCAAAGCCTCACCTTTAAATAAACATTTTCCTAAAAAAGGATGAGAACACAAATCACACTACTTTTCAAATAACTTCCACTTGAAAGTTTCCAGTTCTCTTCACTGTTGAGGGGAGTGTCCTATTTTTCTTATGTTTTTCACACACACATAGTAAAATATTCAGATGTATTCACACACACACAAAGAGTAAAAAATTTAAGTGTATTTTAAGTTCGCCACTAGTGTATTCTAGAATAACTATATGTATATTTGTTTATTTGCATGATTTTTGTAACCAAATAAATGTTAATCCTTTTTTTTGGGTGAATAAATGTTAATACTTAGAATGTTAATACTCAGAATGCCGGAGCGAACTGCCGGAGCGTGTTCTCAGAATGCCGGAGCACTCTGGGTCAAACAAATGACTACCGGAGCGCACATTAGGACAGCCGGAGCACAGTTCTTAGTATGCCAGAGCGTTGTGGGTCAGACAAAGCACTGTCGGAGCGCACATTGTGACTACCGGAGCATGCATTCGGACTACCATAATGCAGTCCTCCATTACCGAAGCGTTGTGGCGCTAGAGGCTTCATTGTCAAAGCAAACTGTCGGAGCGCTGTGGATCAGACAAAGTACTGTCGAAGAGCACATTGGGACTGCCAGAGTGCGTTTTTACTGTGGAAAACAGGAGAGAGAAGGCTGTGTGAAAAGAAACAAAGGTACTTTAATTTTATTTAATGTTACTTTTGGGTTGGGGGGTTTTTGCGACAAAAGATAGTTTGGGGGGAAAAAAATGTATAAAAAAATTAAGTTGAGGGTAACTTGCATAAATAATTCATTTTAAGATGTTTTTTGTAAAATCTCTTTATTTATATATATATAATATACACACGAGGGGATTACACAAAAGCGCTTGATGACATAATACTTGTGTGGGTTTATGTACTCTAAAATGTCCATGTGCTTATTGTGGGAATAGATGCTTGGGATCTGTACCCTGAAATGCTCGAGTACTTGATATTTTGAAAGGTATCTTGTGTTGATATTGTAATTAGTGATTCGATACTGGCGGTGGCAATGGGTTGGGTCTTGGCTTGTCGGATCAAACTTTAAAATTAAAAAAATATCTATTTTGTTAACTATATTTAAATATGTTTTATATATTGGGGCTTAAAAAATATTGTCCGACTCAGACCCCGAATAATGTCCAAGTCCAAAATTTCGACCCACACCTGACCAATCGGGTCCAATTTTTTGACCCATACCCCGACCCAGATCGGATCTACCTTTTGGGTCATGGGTCGGCTCTGGATCCATTACTACCCCTATTCGATACCATTGGGGGATCTCCTCAGAGATAATTTGGGGTTTACTCTTGGTCCTGTCATGGAGTATTACATCCTTGCACTTCTAATGAAGCCGAGTTTTGGCACTTTTACATAGTATTACGAGAATTGACAAGGCCATCCCTAGAGTGGTTATTGAACGATCCTCCCTCAATGTTATCAAGTAGTGCAGACAACCTTCCTCTACCCCTTGGCAGCGGGTCCATACTAGGGATCGTATTAATAGGTGGCTCTGTTAAGGAGGCATCCTTTGTACATATCCACAGGTAGCGGAATGGAAGTGTTGATGTCATTACCATAGCTAGCAATTTGACGATTAATTGCCTAATTTTTCAGAAAATCGCCGAAGTTTTGGAAAACGTTTTACACGTCGGTTTTTTTAGAAGTTCGTAAAAAAAATATGTTTTTTTCATAATACAGTTAAAAACATGTTTTTTTTTAAGAATGAAAAAAATGGGACCAAAAAAACCTTTTCCTTTTTTACTTGTAATTTTTTTTAGAAAGAGAAACAATGTTTTTCCAAATCTGTGTAATTTCTAAATGAACCTAATATTTCCACACAAAAAATCCGAAAATAGAAATTTTTATCCACGAAAATGAATGAACCTATTATTTCCAAATCTATGTAATTTCTAAATGTGCATTGTTAGGATTTAGGGTTTATTATCTTAGAGTTTATGCTATGTTCTTCTTCTTCACAACCAGATTTTCAGATTGAAAGTATGATTTATTTATTTATTTATTTATTTTTTCTTTTTAACTTCAACATGATGCATATTTCAGTAGTTATTGTGCAAAGAAAATACTGTTTACATGCAAATCATTGTGTAAAAAAATATCGTATAGATGCAGAATACAAAAATCATATAGATGCAAAAACCAGATTTCTGTGAACAGATATTCTTGTGGAAGCCATTGGATAACTAGGGATTTCTTCTGCCCTTTCAAATTTTGTTGTTTAGTGTTTCTTCTGTCATAGCCCCGTGAGTGATGAGTGATGGGAGCTGGGGCCACAACGAGAGTGTGAGGGATCTGTGAGAACAAAGACTGGTTCTAGCAAGACTATGGGGATTTGATCGAAAGGGGAATGGGAGAGCACGAAAAAGATGGGCGTAAGGTACGTATTTTGCTATTGCAACATCACTAATGAAAACCCATCTTCTCGCAGTGGTTAAGGCAGCTCTCTTTCTCTTGGTACGCCTTTTGCTGCTGCAACATCACTAATGAAAACCCATCTTCTCACAGTGGTTAATGGCTCTCTCTCGCCCACACTTATCTTGTTTTTTGCCATGCATTAACCATCGTTCCAATAACCAATAGCGCATATGTAATTGAAACGGCAGTTCGGATATCTAACCATGGTTAAATTAATTGACTTAATTATATTAGTCTAATAAAGTTTTTATGGATGGATTAGTTATTGATGGCTTTAACATAATATTTATTTTTTAAAATTTCAAATTTTCTAACATTTTAACTTATTTGATTTTCTTACTCCAATTTTTTTAGCCTAGTCTAATATATTGGCAATACCTTTACATGAAGTATTTTTGCCCATCTGTACTTTTATCCGATTTTTTCATCCGACTTTTTAAAATAAAAACGATTTTTTCCCGATTTTAAGGTACACCGATTTAGGAAAAATATCTCCATACCCAGTATTTTTAGGTTTCATTTCTTGATAAATCCAAGGTTTCAAAATATATCTTCAAACACCCTAGCAAGTTTAAACCTATTTTTTAACCTAAACAAATGTGAAAAAGACATGCTCTTTCTAAACTCAATCATTTTTCTCTCTTCACTTATATACCCCCAAACTTATCTCTTTCTGTTTCTTATTGTGTTTCTCACTCTCTCTCCTCGTGTGTTTTTCCAAACACCTTTCTCTCGTTCCTCCTGATAACCTCTCATTTCCATGAAGCCATTCTCTCACTCTCTAGAAATTTAGGAGAATGGCTT